CCACCCCCCGAAAGCGAACACCGCTCCCTTGGAGAAGCTCTCGGCTCCAGAGCGTCAGCGTCGCTGTCGTCGTCGTCGTCGTCGTCGTCGTCGTCGTCGTCGTCATCGTCGCCGCCGTCGTCCACCTTCGGGGTCGGCGGCGCCGGCCGTGAGGCTTTCGCAATAATCATTGAGAGACACCCGAAGCATAGCAAGCAGCACCTGGAGAACATCGGCAACTTGATCAACAACACAGTGGCCCATATCCAGGCAAAGCAACCCACAGGAGTGACAGAGACCGACTACCTCGACCAGCAGGCTTACCTACTCGCCGGCCCAAGAGCTCGCCCCGCTCGTCCTCTTCGTGGTCGGATCCATAGCTGCGCACGGAGGCCACCACTTCCTCGGAGGGCCGCCCCCTGGCCTCGAAGACGATGGGGATGAGCTCGAGACCCCGCCTCGGGGGGTACCGCGTTCTCTTGTCGTCGACCTTCTGGGCTGCCGCCAAGCGACTCCTGTTAGAGCGGGCCGGCCTGCGAGCGGCATAGGCTGAGCAACGCGCAGGCCACGGCCAAGTCCACAAAGATGTGGCGTCCGGTGTTGTGGTCGACGGTGGCCACGTCGAGCTTGGCCTCCTCGAGCGGCCTCTGTAGAGGCGACAACCCCATCCTGGCACGCGCTGCTCAGTGGGGGCAGCGTACTCGGTGAGCGCTGCGTGTCGCTTTGAGTGCCAATCCCGCACCCAGGTATCCTGGTCATGCAAAACCCCCCACTTCGCACTGTCTCGCGTGCCACTCTTGCCGGTCGAGCGGCTGATTGCAGGGTTGCCCAGTGGTCTTGCTCCCCACCCTAATCCTCTTCCTACTCCTCATCCTCCCTCCCTCCCTCCCTCCCTCCCTCCTCCACTGGGGGGAGGCTTGCCTTGGCGGCCGCCGCCGCGCTGGGCTCCGCGCCCGCCGCCTCGACGGCGGCCATCGCGGCAAGGAGGGCGAGGGCCGCCGAAGGGGCGCCAAGGGAGGGCGACGGCGGGCCAACGCGCCTCGAGGGGGAGGAGCGACGGAGGAGGGGGGAGGGAGGGAAGGCAGGCAGGCGAGGAGGGAGGGAGGAGGAACGACAGGCAGGAAAGGAGAAGGTGGAGGCGATGGAGTCAGAGGTACCCAAGACCACAACCAGCGTCAGCGTCAGGAGGAGCAGGAGGAGGGAGGGAGGGAGGAGGGAGGGAAGAGGAGGGGAGAGGGAGGAGGGAGGAGGAAGGGAGAAAGGAGAGAGAAGGAGGGAGGGGAGGAAGAGGAGGACGAGGAGGACGAGGAGGAGAACGACCAGGAGGGGGGAAGGGGAGGGCCTAAGGAACAAAACATACATTCGGAGGAGGAAGAGGGAGGGGAGACAAACAGACAGACAGGCAAAGGGCAGCGTCCGTGATGTGCACGGCGGGTTTCGCCGCGATGACGTCGGCGTTGGTTTCTGACACCGCATGGGTCGTTCGATTCTGAACGACGGCCTTCCGAATAGAGCAGATCGGTCGATATCGGCCGATGCCACGCCACTGGCGGCATTCAAACTTGACCGGACACGCCTGGGTCAAGGCCGCGTCGACGCGGCACGAGCCTGACGGAAACTGTCGCACGCGCCGCGTCGACGCGGCACGAGCCTGACAGAAACTGTCGCACGCGCCGCGGCGAGAGCGCCAGTCGGAACGCAACGGTCGGGGAAGAGCCGACGTGGACACCGCAGGGCCGTACGGTGGCCCCAAGAGGCCTGCCCCTCTCACTCTCTCCCCCCTTTCCCCGCTTCCCCTCTCCCCCTCTCCTCCCCCTTCCATCCCCCCTCCACGTCCTCCTCCTGCTCAACATCCCACTGTCAAAGCCTCTAGCTTCCCGATGCGCACAGGGGTGGCGGCACCAGCCGTGAGGTCTTCGCAGTATTTAGCACACGTGGTCGGGGTAGAGAGGAAAACAATACTAACAATGAGCATCCGCCACCGTGCCGTAGACAATAGGTGGAGTGCCATCAGGACTTCTCGAGGTCTTCGCATTGGAATGTATCAAGGCTCATGAAGGGCCCCAAAGCCCCAACTGCCAGATGTCCCGGGGCTTGTCGCGTGACTCCCGGGGCGCCCCGATGATTTCTCCTGACGACAGAAATCATTGACAACATGTGTTTTCTGTTGGCTCCCGCCCCAGAGGGGGGAAGCGAACGGCCCCAGAAGGCCGCTTGTGCCAAGATGGCCCCCGCGATTGCCAAGAGGCCTCCACGAGGCCCAAAGAGGCCCCCACGAGGCCTCCAACAGGCCCCCGAGATGCATCCCCAGACGCCCAAACTAGCGTCCAAGATGTTTCTGACCCACAAGCCACCCATGTCGGCGGATGGGCCGCAGGCCATAAGATCCGCCTACCCCTGCGCGTGAAACAGGGGCGTACGGCGTGCTTAAATATTTGAGTGTTCTACGGTAGATGACGAACCATAAAAACTGTTTGACGGTGACTCGTACTGTTTGCGAGCGTTCCAGAACTGCATGCATGCAGCTTCGGAAGGCCTTCTTTGGCGAAAATCCCAGAGACACGAATCCCCTCCGCGAAAAGTTGTCGCTGCATTCTGCCATTGCTGTCATGCAAACACTGCAATCGAGCAGTGATGGTGGTGCTTATAATGTCGATGGTGGTTGCGATAATACTGATGACGGCGATGTTTCGTATGATGATGATGATGATGATGATGATGATGATGATGATGATGATGATGATGATGATGACGACGATGATGATGGTGGTGATGGTGGTGATGATGATTCTGGTGCTGGTGCTGGTGCTGCTGCTGATAACGATGACGATGATGATGATGATTATGATGATGATAATGATGATGCTGATGATGATGGTGGTGGTGGTGACGATGATGATGATGATGATGCTGATGATGATGATGATGATGACGCTGACGCTGGTAACAATGACGGTGATGATTATGACGATGATTACGATGATGATGACGATGGTGATGATGGTTGGAAACAGGGGAAAAAAAACAGGATGGCGAAAGTATTGCGAGCGTAGTGGTGGTTAAAACGGTGGCGATGATTGCTGTGGCATGAACGTAACAATGAACAGGCGGAAGGGGTCGCACCAGGAGGGAACTGTCACGATCAGAATCGCCATGAAGATGAGAATTGTGAAAGAGGGACATCACGGGAAGCAATGACAAGCAACCGATGGTGATGATGATGACCATGAAAAGTGCGGGCGGTGATAATGACATTGCGGGCGACGAAGCGGAGGAACCAGATGGCTGCAATAAGCTGCAATAGAAAATGAAGCAAGCTCCATCGCATCCAGCGAAAATACAAACTTTAAGTTAAAAAGGAAGGAAAGAGGGGGAGCCCCGGGACGCCGTTGGCCTGCTCGAGGCGATCCTCTTTGCTACGCTACTGGCGGCACCACTGCACCGCTTCCCTAGGACCCTGGAACCCGTGAAGCGCAGCAACTCTAAACATATCCAAGGGTTCGGGCACATCGAGCCCGTAGGAGCCACCTTCGGCCCCAGGACCCGAACGATCCCCCCACCCCTCGAGTCGGGCCAGACCAAAGCACAGCCACGGATCAGCCTCGCCGATTGCGCAGGCCAATGTCCAGGGGTGTTCTTCACCTCTTTGATTTCCCTGGGAAGTGCGGTGGGGAGGTTGTTGACGGATGGGTCGGTGATCACCTAAGCCTGGATGAGCGCTTCCTTTAGCTCGGACCACATATGGTGAATCCTTTGACAGGCAGCCACTCGGGCATTCGTCGTTCACGGGGGCGCTTCCCCCAGCGGACAGGAAGACGGAAATCGGCCGGGGTGTATTGCAGCATCGCTTATACATCCTGGGTCTACTCTCCTCCTCCTCCTCCTCCTCCTCCTCCTCCACCTCCTCCTTCTCCTCCTCCTGCTCGTCCATTCCTTTTCCTTATAACTCCTCCCTGTCGCACCCAAAGGCCGGTCGAAAGAGCGGGCCGGGCGCTTCGCCTGAGACTTCCTCACAACTTCTGACCCTGATGCTAAAAATGACCACAGTTTCACAAATGAAGGCCGGGTGGTTTTCAAACTGTGGCTCTCGCCTTAGCGCCGCACACATTCTCATAAAAATGCAAGAAGTTCATGGATGGAGAGCGGTTGGCTTTCAAACTATGGCTCTCGCCTTAGCGCCGCGCACATTCGTCTTCAAATTCGCAAGAGCTTCACGGATGGAGGGCGGTTGGTTTTCAAACTGTGGCTCTCGCCTTAGCGCGGCGCACATTCGTTCAAAAAAATGGCAAGGTGGAGAGCGGGTCGTTCTCAAAATGTGGCTCTCGCCTTAGCGCCGCGCACAGTCGGTCTACAAAGTTGCAACAGGTTCACGCATTGAGAGCGATTCCTTTTCGAAATGCGGCTCTCGTCTTAGCGCCCCGCACATCCGTTTGAAACATTCGCAGAAGTGTCACTGATTCGAATGGTTGACGTGCCAGAAACGGTGATTTGGACAGGTTCAGGACTGTCAGGGCGCAACAGTTAGGTTGATTCGCGGTGTTGTCCGAGGAAAGGTGTTCTGGCACGATTCAGGACCACCACGACGTAACAGTCGGCTTCACTGTTGGCGTTGAAGTCCTGGGAATGGTGTTCTGGTACCCTTCAAAATATTCACACGGTTGTCCCCCAACGGGGCAATTCCCTCAGTGGAAATGACTCTTGTAGGGGCCTATGAAGAATAATATTGGAGGGAGGTTGTATTTCAAAATCGGTGATGAGTCTTGGGTTTACACTGGTCCTCCTACTCCTCCTCCTCTTCCACCTCCTCCTCCTCCCCCTCCCAGTCCTCCTCCTCTTCGTCCTCCTCCTCCTCCTTCCTTCCCTCCCTCCCTCCCTGCCTCCCTCCCTCCCTGTCTGCCTTCCTCTCTCCCTCCCTCTCCTCCTCCTCCTCCTCCTCCTCCTCCTCCTCTTCCTCCTCCTCCTCCTTCTCAGCGTCCTCAACGCAATGCTCCGCTGTTTCCCACACTCGCCCATACCAGCGCCATCCAGGACCACCGCGCGGAGGTGGTCTCTCTTCTGCGACGCGGAGCGCAGGCTGTCCCACTCCTGAGGGGAGGGCTACTCTGGCACGCGCGCGCGGGGGGGAGGCTGTTGGCATGTGTTGTCCATTACTCCTGGGGGGAGGGGGATAAGGAGAGGAGGGAGGAAAAGATGCAAGGAGAGGAGGGGAGAGTAAAGGAGTGGACAGGAGAGGAGAGGGGAAAAGATGCAAGGAGAGGAGGGGAGAGTCAAGGAGAGGACAGGAGAGGAGAGGGGAAAAGATGCAAGGAGAGGAGGGGAGAGTCAAGGAGAGGACAGGAGAGGAGAGGGGAAAAGATGCAAGGAGAGGAGGGGAGAGTCAAGGAGAGGACAGGAGAGGAGAGCAAAGGAGAGAATAGGAGAGGAGAGGAGAGGAGAGGAGAGGAGGCTACAGTCGAGAGGCGAGAAAAGAGGGGAGACGAGAAGGCAGAAGAGGAGTTGAGGGGCAGGGAGGTGAGAAGAGGAGAGGAGGAGAGGGAAAGAGGAGGGGAGAGAGGTATTACAAAATGAGGGCGAGGACGACAAATAGGGAAAGGAGAAGTGATCCCGAGGCCCACGACCCGATCACAACAGCAGGTTGAGCCGAATGACACCAGATGCTTCGTGTAGTAGTTCTTGGCGCGGAACTCTGAAGTGTGTCATGGGCCGCCTTGTCTCACACTCTGAAGCTCCATCGACTTTGGGGGGGGGGGAGCGGTGCAAAAACACCCTGAACTCCAAGAAGACACTAATTCAAACAGATCTTGGGATTCCAGTTGTGAACTCAGAAACCCAGCAACGCCAACCACGGACTCCAATAACCGAGTTTCAGAGACGGGCGGGATCCCTGGGGCGGGGCAGCATCGCCCGCGCCATCGATGTCCTGGGCCAACGTGTGGCGCTGCCTCTGCCTTGTTCCGTTTCACGGGCACGTGGATGCCAGCTCTGCCACGCGCCGATGGACACCTCGCCGCTTCCGCGGTCCAGACGCAGACCCGGGAACGGAAAGTCGCGCTGGCCGAAGGCCTGTGCACCGCGGGAAATTTGCGCCCGAGGAGCTCTCGTCAAAGCAGTCGGCCAAGGCCCCCCCGGCGGGCGCGCTGACCGCACGCCATCTCGAAGACGAGACCTCAAGCAACGCAGCGCAAGCGGCCATTCGATGGCGCACAAAACGCAAAGGGCAAAGGTACACGGACGCCTCCGCCACGCGGGCGCCCACGCCAGGCAGGGGTGCTGCATTGGCGCGAAGGATCCCCGCGCCCCCTCGCTGGCGCGCCCGCGCCTTGCTAGCAGGGCGAAGCAGGTTCCCTGCAGAAGTCCTGCCGGACGTGGTCCTGGACCCAACGCTCTCGAAGGTCAAAGAGTCTGCGGCTGCGACGCCTCGGGAATACGACGCCCCCCCCCCGCTCCCAGCGGCGTAATGGGGGTGCGAATCAACGCCCTGCCCCGAGCCGAGGCGCGAAAACCGCTGTCAACCCTCTGGCCAGTTTTCTCCCCCAACTATTGGGCCTCTCCACTCAAGCGCGCAGCGGCAACGCCGGCAGCGCACGGCGGCCACGCCGCGTCGCCAATCGGGCATCTGCAGAATCCACCCCGTGCGCGTACAGAGCATCGGCCGCGGACGGTTTCCCCGCTGCGCGAGCAGAGCATCGGCCGCGGACGGTTTCGCCGCTGCGCCGCGGCTGCGCCGGCGACGACGGGCGCCACACAAGAAACCGCTCGACAGGCCAGGGTGCCGCTGGACACGCCGAGCGAGCGCTAATTTGCCAAACTCCGCCCGCTACATGAGCGCAGGCCCGCCCCAGTGGATAGCGCACTTCCGAGCGCAGCAATAGGTGCACCTCGGAGCAACGAGCGGAGAAGCACTCGCTCGCGAGCAAGCGCACACACATACACACACACACAAAGACTAACACACAAACACACACACACACACACACGCACACGCACACGCAACCACGCAACCACGCAACCACGCAACCACACGCACACGCACGCACACGCAAACGCACACGCACATGCACACGCACACGCACACGCACGCGCACGCGCACGCACACGCACACGCACACGCACACGCGCACGCACGCACGCACGCACGCACGCACGCACGCACACACACACACACACACACACACACACTTGTTGGCGTCGCAGCGACGCGAGCGGCGGCGCGCCACACACACACACACACACACACACACACACACGCAAACACACGCACAAACGCACACTCACACACACGCTCACACACACACACATACACAAACACACACACACACACAGTTGGCGTCGCTGCCACCCGCGAAACGGCGCAGCAGAGTCAGAGTCCAGGTGGAAGCGGAAAGAATGCGGGCTGGCCCGACTCACGCGGCGGGGAGATGCCGAACCCTGCACAAATGGACCACGCGACTCACTCGCGAGGAGCCCATCGCGAGGGAGGAAGAAGGGAAGAGGGGACTGGGCAACGATCAGAGGGGAGGGGAAAGCAAGGCCGCAGGAGTATGCAGGAAGGGGCGATGCAAGTGGGTCCAGTAGCAGACCGCGAAGGTCGGCAAGCGAAGCGCAGCGAAGGACGAGCAGCACGGGCGTGCGGCGGGGCCCGAATGCGGAGCTGAACACGCCACACACACACACACACACACACACACGCACACGCACACGCACACACACACACACATGCACACACACACACGCGCGCGCACGCACGCACGCTCACGCAAACACACGCACACGTACACACACACACACACACACACACACGCACACACACACACACACACACGCACACACACACACACACGCGCACACACACACGCAAACACATACACACGCTCGCAGGCATACACACGCTCTCACACGCACACGCACACGCACACGCACACGCGCACGCTCACACACACACACACACACACGCATACACAAACACACGCGTATATGCATAGACTTACACATACACACATATACATGCCCACCTACATGTACGTATACATACGTGTATATACAAATATACGTATGCATGTACATATACACACATGTTCATGTACATGTCCACATGCATGTACGTATACAGATACATACATATATATATATATATATATGCATACACAACTGCATAAACATTTATAAATGTGCATGTACATGTATAAATATAACTACGCATAGATGTACAACTGTGTAATTGCATGCGCGCATGTATCCGCCACAGTGCCGCTGGGCACGGAGTGGGCGTGTCCTCAGGGAGTGGGCGTGTCCTCGGGTCCTCGGGCTACACCTCTCAGCCTCAGTCCTCACTCCTGAAGAACTATTAATGGGTTCGGAGCTCCTCGGCCAAAATCTGATGGCTGTTTCGGACCCAACAGGGCCCCAAGACGGGCCAAGAGGGCCCAAGAGAGCCCCCAAGACGGTCTAAGAGGTCCCCGAATCGTCGAACGATCGTCCCAAGACGCTCAAAATGGCCCCCAGACGGCCCAAAGGCCTCCAAGACGGCCCAGGGGGCCTCTGAGAGGACTCCCAAGAGGGCCCCAACAGACAAAATCTTTGATTTGTCGTAGGTGTTGAAGGATTTGGGCGTTCTCGTCTTGTCGGCTTCCCGACGCTCCCAGATGGCCCTAGAGGCCCCCAAGACCGCCCCAAGACGGCCCAAAAGGCCTCCAAGAGGGCCCCAATACGGCACAGGAGAGCCCCAAGACGGCCCAAGAGGCGCCCAAGACTTCCCAAGAGGACCCCAAACGGCCCCACGAGGGGCCCAAGAGAGGGACCGCGAAGCGAAAATCCGAGCCTTCAGCCCCAAGAGGCGCCCAGGAGGCCCCAAGAGGCTCCCAGGAGGCCCCAAGAGGCTCCCAAGAGGCCCCCAAGAGGCCCCAAGAGGCCCCCAAGAGGCCCAAAAGAGGCCCCCAAGAGGCCCCCAAGAGGCGTCCAAACTGCCTCCAGGAGGCCCCCGAGAAGCCAAGCCTCCCACGAAATTCCAACGAACATCATATAGGCTTCATACCCACAGCCCAGGCCCGGTGGCGGGAAGGGCCGAAGGCCATTAGATATCAGAGAGAGCGTGATCCACCGCCGCTCTACTGTGGAAAATTGCCAACCTTTTCCTCCGGAACCCGGGGGTCTCCCCCCCCCCCCCTCCGAAAATCCCCCCCCCCCCTGCTGGACCCCCCCCCCTCCCCCCCCCTTCCCCCCGGCAAAACCCCCCTTCCCCTAACCCCTCCCCCCCCCCTCCCCCTCGAAAGCCGGGGGGGGTCACTACCGGTTCGAACCCCCCCACCCCCCTCCGGATCCGGAAAACCGGGGGGGGTCACTACCGGTTCGAACCCCCCCACCCCCCTCGAAAACCGGAGGGGGATCACTACCGGTTCGAACCCCTCCCTACCCCCCCACTCACCGCCAGCAAACGACTCCCGGTCCCTACCACCGTCCGCATCACATCCTCCACTGTTGTTCCCAGCACCACTGTCCTCACCACCACTGTCCCACTGTGTCCCCACCAGTGCCCCCACCACTGTCGCACTGTCCCCACTGTTCCCACCACTGTTCCCACCACGGTTCCACTCTCCCCACTGTCTCCACGGACCCAACCACTGCCTATCCCCACTGTCCCCACTGTCCCACTGACTCCTCCGCTGTCCACTGACTGAGCTGTCCCACTGTCCCCACCACTGTCCCCACTGTACCCTCTGTCCCATTGTCCCACCGCCGTCCTCGCCACCGCCTTTACCACTGTCCCCACCACCATTGTACCCTCCACTATCCCACTGTTTCTACCTCATTCCCACTGTCCTCACCACCACTGTCCCCACCACCACTGTCCCCACCACTGTCCACTGTCCCCCCTGTTCCCACCATTGTCCCCACCACTGTCCCCACCACTACCGTCCCCACCACTGTCCCACTGTCCCACTGTCCCCACCACTGTCCCGCTGTCCCCTCACCACTGTCCCCACCAACACCGTCCCCACCACTGTCCGCACCCCCACTCGGTTTTCGAGGGGGGGGGGTTCGAACCGGTAGTGACCCCCCCCCCTTTTCATGATGAACTGGGGGGGGGG